TGCCTTCTACAATTGGACCAGGTAGGGATTGGTGACTGTTCACATGTGTAAGAAAGACCTGCCCTATGCGTTGTTGTAGAGCATCATAAAGTTGACGCTTCTGTCTATACAAATCCTACTGTTATCATTTTGTGTACCAGTTTATAAACATATAAAGAGTCTGTAACAATATTAATAGGATTCTCTGTTTCCTGCTAAAGTGCCATCTGGATCGCTTTGGCTTCCAACCATTGTACTGATCTGTCAATCTGAGTCCACAATTTCTTTTGCCAGCGTCCCTCAGCTTTCTATACGAGTGCAGCTGTTTGGGATTATGATGAGGCATCTGTAAAGTGTGTTGTGCCAATAAGAGGGTGCATGACTAGAGGTAGTGTAAGTTGTAGCTGAAGTTCTTTCAAGTGTGAAACCCACTGTAGACCCTTTCCAGTTACTATGGAGACCGGAAAGTCAAAGATGGCACACTGTAAATCTTACGAACGCATAACTATGTCATCCCATACTTGTTGCTTCCAGGGGATGAGTATTGTGTCAGGTTCCTTTCCAAAGTGTTGAAGGGTCATATTACGTAGGCGTCCTATGAGGTCTGCTATAACAGTGACTATGGTAACAAAGGTGGACTTGTTGGTATTTTGGTAAGCCCAGGCTAAAGGCGCGGGCTTGCCGTCCGTGCCTTGAAATAGGATGCCTATTGTGCCATGGTCAGAAATAAACCACCCTGCTATGATTGGATGTTTTGAATCCTATCGCTGCAAAGGTCTCTGTTGTCATAAAATAGTTTGTAAAAGTGCTAAATTGTCCTGGCACTCCTTTGTGAGTTTCTTTGGTTCCCACAAGTGTTGTCCTTTCAGCAATTCATAAAAGGGTTGCATAAATCCCAAAGGAATACAGATAAAGGTACGGAGCCACTGTAAGGCTCCTACTAATTTCTGAACATCATGTAGAGTGGCAATGTGTGGAGCAAGAGCTATTGGTTGTGGACTTATGTCGTTCCCAGCTAAAGTTATACCCAGATATTGTAATTGTGTACCTTGCTGGATTTTTGCCTCGGCAATGCTCAAATTATGTTGTTGCAACAAGGCTTTGGCACGCTGGAGCAGGTGTTCCACTTTCTGCTCTGTAGGTGCTGCTAATAATGTCATCCATATAGTGTACCACATAATGGTCAGTCTTACCTTCTCTCAATGGTGCGATGGCTTTGGCCACATACAGCTAACAAATGACAGGTGAGTTTTTCATACCTTTAGGTAGTACAGTCCATTGCCAATGTGAACTGGTTGAGAGAGGTTCACAGAAGGCACGGTAACGGCAAATCTTTCTTTGTCGGCAGGATGTAAAGGGATGCTGAAAAAACAATCTTTGATATCAATAATCACAATGGAACAATCTTTTGGTATGTTGGAACCCCAGGGCAATCCAGGTTGCAGGGCACCCATTGCCTGCATCTGTTGATTTACAGCCCTGAGGTGACGGAGTAAGCACCACTTAGTCTTATATTTCTTTTGGATAACGAACACAGGAGCATTCCAAGGGCTTGTAGAACGTTACAAATGACCCACCTGTACGTGTCTTTCTACTAATCGTTGAAGTGCACTTAGTTTTACTGAATTAAGCGGCCAGTGGTCGACACACATGAGTAAAGAAGTTAACCATGTAAGTTTTAGGGCTGGTATGTGTTCAGCAGTGGCCTCTAATCTAAATTTGTAATGCCAGTTTTCATTTGTTGCATGCAGTCACAGCCCAACAAAACTCCCTGAAAATTTGGTAATACTATAGGCTTGACTATTGCAATCAAGGCACCTTTCTTCTGGTCTTGGATTTTAAATGTTGTGTCAGTGATTGCTTTGTACACTGGTTTTTCTCCTCCGACGCCCGCCACAAATCCCCCAAATGTAGTTTGCCACTGCCCTGGCCACCATTTTTCGCCCACTATTGTTATACCAGCTCCTGAATCAATCATGGCCTGCAGCACTATTTCTTCTGTTCTTCCTGGGCAAGGCTGGCTCATCCAAATGGTGACCATAGCCTTATCGCTACAATCTAAAACGAGAGCCACGGTTCCTGACCCTGAGGAACATCTTGCGGAAAATTGTGGGCATACCTGACTGTCACTTGGGGAGTATAGGAGAAGTTGTCTCTGATTTTGGGGGGTTACTTGCAGGGCATTGGAGGAGCCCGGCCCCCATTCCTGGCTCCTCCCCTTTCATTTACCTAATGTTTATACCAACAATCTCATGCCCAATGACCTGTTTTGTCGCATACCCATCAAGGTGCAGTTATCAAGGAACATGGTTCTTGTCGCTTCATCCAATGAGATCTTTTATCAACACCAGAGAAGTTGTTTTTTCTATATGACATAGGTTTTTCTGCAAGATGGATGTCATCTGGGGCATGTGTCATTACCTCCTTTTGCACCACTTGTCCTAAGAGGGTGGGTATAGGTGTATTCAGAGGAATATCCTTTATAATATCCTTGATCATTAGATTAGATTGCTGTTGGATACATTCTATTATTACAGCTTCCTTAGCACCATCAGGTAAGTCTGATTCTGTGACCGCAGCGTGGAACTTAACACATTTCAAGAACAGTTCATTTTGTTGTTGCTTAATAGAGGTCCATAGGGGTTATGTCTTTTCTAACTTAGCTATATCCATGAAAGATTTTTACCAGCTTCAGTACTGGCAGTAAATTCCCTGGGTCTGAGTTGTAATAGAGCAGGGGTTGTTCAAAATGCTCCCCATCCTGTAAGGTGGTCGAAAGCTGTCTCCATGCGAGGGGTGTTGTAGATCTACAGTTGTAGAGTGAAGCTTTACTCCTAATATTATACAGTCTTTTGGTATGAGCTGCCAATCAGTAGGGTGTTTTTGTAAACAAGAGGAAGCAGCCCTGCCCATGATCAGACGTCTGTTTTCCTGGGTGAAGGCTTCCAGTGTACGTACTGCTGACGTCAGTTTCGATAGCCATTTCTGAGACAGGGAGTCTAAACAATCTTAGATTGATGGTGCAAGGCCTGCGCAAAAACAAGGGGAGGCGTATGGGACTGTTCGAAAAAGACATACCAAGTACTGATAACGTTGCTAGGCGATTAACTCCTAGCCCAAAGAGAAGTCCCTCCTAGTCTTTGAAAAACAGACAACCCCAAAACATTGGCCTGGAAGAAAGCCAGAGAACAACTGAGGCTGCTCAGAGCGACAGGGAGAAAAGTTCATCAGCGAAGAAGAGGAGGAGACCTGATTACCATGAGAAGCGAGGGGAGGCAGGGGTAGACTATGTATATGTATAGGCGTTTTATGAATATGCACTATTTTGTAACATATAAGCCGGACGAGAGCTGCAAACGATGCACATGCTTGTGGTGGAGCGATCCCCCATGCGCCCAGCGCTGAATAAACATACCCACTTTATAACCCCAAAAGTTATAGAGTGATTTCTCCGCAAAACATCTTGGCACCCTAGATGGGACTCCTCTGCTCAGCTGCCGTCGACTGCTGATGGGTGGACTTCCTAGGTGCACCCCGAGTTCTTCTCGGAGGAACTCCGCTCCCAGCTGTCCACTGCGGGAGCAGACAAGGACCATCTGGCTCGCGGACAGAGGTATGTTTA